TATAGAAGGAAAGTACCTCAACATAATAAAGGACATATATGACAAAGCCACAGCTTACATCTTCACTGATGGAGAAAACTGAAAGATTTTTCTTTATGAACTGGAACAAGACAAGGATGCCCACTCTCACCACTCTTATTCAACATAGTACTAGAAGCCAGAACAATTAGTCAAGAGAAAGAAATAAAGGGTATCCAAATTGGAGAGGAGGAAATCAATTGTCCCTGTTTGGAGATGACATGATCTTACATAGAGAAAAACCTAATGAATCTACCCAAAAAGTCTTAGAACTGGTAAATGAATTCAGTAAAGATGCAGGATTCAAAATTAATACACAGAAATTGGTAGCATTTCTATACATGAACAGGTGAACTAGCTGAAAAAAAAAATAAAAAGGCAATCCCATTTACAGTAATAGCTATAAGAAAAAAAAACAGAATAAATTTAACCGAGGAGATGAAAGACCTCTACAAGGAAAACTACAAAACACTTATGAAAGAAATTGAAGAAGATACTACAAACAAATGGAAAGACTTTCCATGCTCATGGATCAGAAAATTAATATTGTTAAAATGACAGTACTACTCAAAGCAATCTACAGATTTAATGCAATCCCTATCAAAATACCAATGACATACTTCATTGAAATAGAAAAAAAAAAATTCTAAAATTTGTATGGAACCACAAAGACCCCAAATAGCCAAAGCAATCATACCAAAAAGAACAAAGCTGGAGGTATCACATTATCAGACCTCAAAATATACTGCAGTGCTGTAGCAACAAAAATAGCATGGTACTGGCATTAAAATAGACACATAGACCAATGGAACAGAATAGAGAACCCAAAATTAATGCACATATTTACCACCAACTTATTTTAACACAGGTGCCAAGAACATTCATTGGCTAAAGGACAGTCTGTTCAGTAAATGGTGCTGCGGAAACTGGATATCCATATGCAAAGGCATGAAACTTGACCCCCCACACACTATACAAAAATCAACTCAAAATGAATCAAAGACCTAAATATAAGATCCAAAATGATAAAACCACTAGAAGAAAACATAGGAGAAATGCATCAGGACATTGGTTTGCAGAAAGACTTTATAAGTAAGACCTCAAAAGCATGGGTAGGAAAAGCAAAAATAAACCAATGGGATTGTAACAAACTAAAAATATTCTGCACAGCAAAGGAAACAATCAGCAGAGTGAAAAGCCAATCTCTAGAGTGGGAGAAAATATTTGCAAACTATTCATTCAACAGGGGATTAATATCCAGAATATACACAGAACTGAAACATCTGAACAGCAAAAAAAAAAAAAAAGAAATCTAGTTAAAAATTTGGCAAATGATCTGAACAGACATTTCTCAAAAAAAGACATTCAAATGGCCAACAGATCTATGAAAACATACTCAACATCACTAAACATCAGGGAAATACAAATCAAATCCACTGTGAGACATCATCTCACCCCGGTTAGGATGGTTATTATCAAAAAGACAAAAAATAACAAATGCTGGCAAGGATGTGGAGAAAAAAAAAACCTCTTAAATACTGTTGATTGGAATGAAAACTAGTTTGCAGACCAATTTAGAGGTCCCTCAAACCACTACAAATAGAACTACCATATGATCCAGCCATCCCACTCTTGGGAATTTATCCAAAAGAAAGGAAATCATTACATTGAAGAGACATCTATACTGCCATGTTTATTGCAGCACTTTTCACAATAGCCAAAATATGGAATCAACCTAGGTGTCCAACCACATGAATGGGTAAAGAAAACATGGTATATATACCATGGAATATTAGTCATCCATGAAAAAAAATGAAATCCTGTCCTTCACAGCAACATGGATAGAACTGGAAGACATTATATTAAGTGAAATAATCCAGGAACAAAAAGTTTAACACTGCATGTTCTCACCACATGTGGGAACTAAAAAACGTTGATCTCATGGAAGTAAAAAGTAAAACAGAGGATATTAGAGGATAGGAAGGGGAGGTGGAAGGGAGGGATTTGTTAAAAGATACAAAATTACAGCTAGATATGAGGAATATGTTCTAGTGTTATATACTACTGTAAGATGACCATATTTAACAATAATATATACTTTCAAATAGCTAGAAGTAAGCTATTGAATGTTCCTAATGCAAAGAAATGACAAATATTGGAGATGATGGATATGCTGATTACCATGATCTGATCACTATGCACATTACATGTATTAAAACATCAGTATGGGCCAGGCGCGGTGGCTCACGCCTGTAATCCTAACACTCTGGGAGGCCGAGGCAGGTGGATCACTCAAGGTCAGGCGTTCGAGACCAGCCTGAGCAAGAGTGAGACCCCATCTCTACTGAAAAATAAAAAGAAATGATCTGGACAACTAAAAATATATATAAATATTAGCTGGGCATGGTGGCGCATGCCAGCTACTCGGGAGGCTGAGGCAGAAGGATTGCTTGAGCCCAGGAGTTTGAGGTTGCTGTGAGCTAAGCTGACGCCACGGACTGTAGCCTGGGCAACAAAGCGAAACCCCATCTCTATAATATATAGAAAAAATTAGCCAGGCATGGTGGCGCATGCCTGTAGTCCCAGCTACTCGGGAGGCTGAGGCAGTAGGATTGCTTGAGCCCAGGAGTTTGAGGTTGCTGTGAGCTAAGCTGACGCCACGGCACTCACTCTAGCCTGGGCAACAAAGCGAGACTCTGTCTCAAAAAAAAAAAAAAAAGAAACATCAGTATGTATCCCATGAGTATGCATAATATAATTGTTATTTGTCAATTAAAAAATAAAAATACAACTGAAAATCTCGATAAACCCCTAAGATATAAATAATAATGTAGAATTGAGTATAAATCCAGTCTAATAGTCATACAATTAGCAGTTTTATGGGACATTGTTTCAATTCTTTATGAGAACCTAAATAAGCACAGGAATTATTAATATTTCTGACAAAGGCAGAAAAGAGTAGTGGTTTGGAACTTGGACTCTGGAGAGTCAGATACTAAATGTTTTTTTGTTTGTTTGTTTTGTTTTATTTTCAAATTTTTGTAGAGATGGAGTCTCACTATGTTGTCCAGGCTAGTCTCAAACTCCTGGCCTCAAGTAATCCTCCCACCTCCTCCTTCCATGGTGCTGGAATTACAGGCGGACACCACCATGCCCGCCAACATAGCATTATTTCTACCTCTGCCATTTACTGTGTCTCTGTTGGGTGACTTACTAATACGTTTGGGCTTCAGTTTCCTCATCAAAAATAGGAAAGAAAATAACAATACCAGTACCCATATCCCAGGCTATTGTTATAATTAAAGGAATTAATACATATAAAACATTTAAAATAGTGCTGGATTCATAGAACATGCTGTATGAGGGTTAGCTTTGGTTACTGATTTTGAATTGACACATTGGCATGATTATATCACTCTAAATTATAAATTTTTCCTTAGACTCTGCAGTCTTTATCAGTGGATAGCCATTTATTCATTCATTAAACATCAAACTTAAATGGCTACATACTGTATGATCCCACTTATATAATGTTCTCCAAATGATAACATAAATTGGTTGTCAGACATTACAGACTTGGCATAGGAGGCTATAAAGGGGGTAACACAAGCCAGGTGCGGTGGGTCACGCCTGTAATCCTAGCATTCTGGGAGACCGAGGTGGGAGGATTGCTTGAGGTCAGGAGTTTGTGACTAGCGTGAGCAAGAGCGAGACCCCATCTCTACTAAAAATAGAAAAATTAGCCGGGCATGGGGTACATACCTGTAGTCCCAGCTACTGGGGTGGATGAGGCAGGAGGATCGCTTGAGCCCAGGAGTTTGAGGTTGCTGTGAGCTAGGCTGACACCACAGCACTCTACTCAGGACAACAGAGTGAGACTCTGTCTCAAAAAAATAAAAACAAATAAAGGGGTAACACAAGGGAGGGAGCTTCTTTGTCATGGAGGAACAGTTCTGTATCTTGATTGTCATGGTGCTTATACAAATCGATACATGTGATAAAATTGCATAGAACTATATATATACAGACACACGTGCTTTTGCACACACATGCACAGACACAAATCAGTGCATATAAAAACTCGTGAAATCTGAATAAGATCTATAGATTTTACCAATGTCAATGTCCTCATTTGATATTGTATTATAATTATTTATGTAGGATGTGACCATTGGGGAAATCTGAGTGCAGGGTACATAGAAACTCTCTGTACTCTTTGTCATTGTTGTTGATTTTTTAAATAGCTTTATCGAGATAGAGTTTACATACCACACAATTCACCCATTTAAAGTATATAATTCAGTGGGTCTTAGCACATTCAGACTTGTGCAATCATCATGACAAGCCTTTTAGAACTTTTTCATCACCTTAAAAAGAAATCCCATATTTTAGCTAACACCCTTCTCAACCCCCAAGAACCCCTCAATCCCTGGTAACCAGCAGTGTACTTCTGTCTCTAGAGATTTCTCTGTTCCGGACATTTCATATGAATGGAATCATATAACGTGTGGTCTCTGTATTATTTTTGTAATTCTCTGAGGGTCTATAATTACTTAAAAATGGAATGTTTTAAAAAACGAATTGAGGTGTTGCTATGGGACAAGCACCGTGCTGGGAACTGGGGACACACGACTAAAGGAAGCCAGAATCGCTGCCCCAAAGAGCCTAGAGTTCAGAGGGAAAGGCAGGGGAGGAGCTGGACAAGGGTACAGTGTGGTCAGTGCTCTGAGGGAGGAAGACTAGAGCTCGGATTGGGGCTGAGGCCAGAGAAAGTTCCCCAGAGGAATTGGTTAGCAAAGTTTTAAAGCACATAACACGTGGAAAGAATTTGGGACCATGTGTGGATGGACCACAAGCTCATGTGGCATCTATGAAACTAACTCTTTCTTGAGACTTTTGCCCCTGTTGGCTGGAGTCTTCTGGCTGCAGCACTCAGTGGCCAGGATGCCAGACAGTCCTCATCTGCTGTCTCTTCTCCCCAGTGTCCAACAAACACCCATTTGTGGACAGCAATCTTCTCTACCAGTTCAGAATGAACTTCCGTCGGAGGCGAAGACTGATGGAGCTGCTCAACGAGAAGTCCCCTTCTTCTCAGGAAGCTCATGACAGTCCCTTCTGCCTGAGGAAGCAGAGCCATGACCACCGCAAATCCACCAGCTTTATGTCAGGTATGCCATCAAATGTTTCCTGTCTTTCCGGAAATAGTCGGATAATAACTCCTCTTTGGGAAATTCTGTTCTGCAGCACATCGGTATCTATTCATACCAAGAAGTAGGCAAGAGAAAAAAAACACAAAGTTTTTCCTGGGCAGCCAACATAGATGCAGTGATTCTATTTTATAAAATTATGTGCTTGAATTATAGGGGACCTCTCAAACTCTCACTCATATCTATTTGCTTTTCATTGAGAAACAATTCTTACATATTACTTATTCAGTTCTCTAAATCACAACTTGGAAAGGCTATGTATTTAAGTGTGACTAAAACTTCTGTGGGTGTGGACACTGATAACAATGAAAAGGCAACTGATTTTTCGCCCATTATCAAGGAGTGACAGAGAACAGAGAAGAGCTAGGAAAAGCAGACCCAGAGGCCCAGAAAGCACAGCAGCCTGGGCGTTCCAGGTAAAGTCAAACGGTCTCATCTTAGCAATTAGCCCTGATGGAAATGATGCTGTTTGCTGTTCACGGGGATAAATCCAGAAAAGGTGAACTTGAAGTTAGTGTCACTCTGTTTAAGAAGATGAGGTGCTTAAAGAGATATCTTCAACTCCTCTGAAAACTTGGCATTGACTCAAGGAACTGATTGGCTTAAGATTTGAAAGTGCTGGGCTTATCCCAACACACAATGAAAGTGTTATGTGTCAGGTATGAATAGGAGCAGACACTGAGAACACTTACAACTATATGTAGGTACACTTCTGTGCTGTAGGCACTGAGCCAATCTTGGTTGCACTGATTTTCTCATTTAATTCTCACTGTGACTCCAAGAGGAAGGACTTTTCTTCTCCCCATTTTACAGGTGAAGGAACTAAGGCAGAGTGCAGTGTAGTGGCCTGCCCATGGTTAGAAAGTGGTGGGCAGAGCTGAGTCTCATAGCAATTGTGTCTTACTCCAGTGCTTCTGTTATATTGCCCTTCCCTAGCCCCTGTACACACCTCAGCTTCCTCAGACATAGCTGGCTGGAGGGGAGCAGGAAACAAGGGCTGCTGTGGAAAAATAAAGACTGGCCAAGGGTCAGGAGCCTGAGCCTGTGTTCCCAGGCCAACCTGGCCAGACTAAGAGGACATGCCAATTGAGTGCCTCTTTAAGGATGCAGTCTTCTGCAAAGGGAGAGTAACTGTTCACTTACTGGTGCAAAGATTTGCCTGTTTCTTGAGTGGGCCCAATAGACCTGAAGCAGTGATGATGATGATGATGAGGAGGAAGATATAGTAACCATGGTTACCATAAATGCCAGCATTATTTTGCACTTCCACGTGCCAGAGTGCTCTCCAAGGTTTCTGTCATTCACTCATACACCTTCCCCCTGTTGCGAGCCAGCCTACTCCATGACAGAGAGAACCAAATCAGGAAACTGAAGACACTGCCTCATACACACTTTCAAAGCCTGAATACGTTCTGTGTATTTTAAGCTCCTTCTTCCATGACTCTAGATGATGAATGGTCTAATATTAAATCATAAGACATTTATTATCACTGTTAATTCATCCCCTGTAGAGCCAGCATTTAATTTACATCCTAGCAGGAACTGCTCAGCATGGATTTGGTAGTTCTTGAAATATCATCCTTTCACACAGGTGATCTAATCCTCCCTTGAGATGACATTATTCTCACTTTACGGTTAGGGAAATTGAGGCTTAGAGAACTGAAGGGAATGGTCCCAGGTTGTGCTGTGAGTAAGCGGCAGAGCTGCAACTCACATTCTTGCTTTTCTGACCCCAAGGTCAGAGTGCTCCTTCCTGGCCTCACTGTACCTTGCAGCTGAACGCCCGTGTGGCGTCTCCCCCTCGGTGACCGTGTGTGTTTTCTGGCCCACACAGTCAGCCCCAGCAAGGAGATCAAGATCGTGTCCGCGGTGAGGAGGAGCAGCATGAGCAGCTGTGGCAGCAGCGGCTACTTCAGCAGCAGCCCCACGCTCGGCAGCAGCCCCCCTGTGCTCTGCAACCCCAAGTCTGGTGAGTGTCCGAAAGGTGGCCCTGCTCCTGACTACGACTCTGGGGAGCAGACCCTGGGCCAGAGGGAAATCAGTGTGTGGGAATCTTACTAGAACATGCTCTTGGAGTCAACACATTTAAATGAAAGGAGAGGGGGTAAGATTGGGCAGAGAGAGAAATCAGGCTGTGCTGCAGTCCCAATGAAGGCTACAGCTGACCCCAGTGAGATGTGGTAGTTCTGGAGAGCTCTGGAGCTGGGCATGGCCCTTCAAAGTTGCCTAGAATCTGTTGAGTGGGCTGAGCCTTTATACTCACACGTTGATCAGTTATTAGATGGTGGCTGTCCCTGGGAGGAGGACATGACCTTGGGCAAGGCAGTTCTCTTCAGAGAGATGGTCCCCAAAGACAGCTGAGTGTTGTCTGCCATTAGCACTCCCAGAGCTGGGAGGAGCCTCTCAGCCCTCAAGGGGGTTTTGGCAGCGCATGACAGTGTTCATTACAGCAGGGGAAAGGTGCCTCCCCAGGCTGCAGCAGATGCAAAGATCCATCTGTGGGGCCCAGCACCCCTAAGGAGGTAGCATGGGTCTATGCAAACCCAGCTATCCCTGGAATTGACTCTTGGTGCCCTGTGCTATATCAAAATCTACTCATCAACTTCCATGGCCTTTATATTCTAGTAAAAAAAATCCACGCACAAAGATTGTCGATGAATTTGTACTTAGAAATGATCTTTTCTCGGCCCCAATCAGTTAGTTCTTCAATCTCCCAGGAACCCCCAGGAATCCATTGATGCTACCGCCTTCTCACCATCACTTACCCACCTGCACCCTCATGCTCTCCTTCCCAGGATTAGGTTGTGTGGTTTAATCATTATAGTCATCGCTCGAAAACACTCTCAACTCCATTTGCTTAGTGCACCGTCCACCCCAAGTTCAGTTTATCACCTTCAGGGAAGAGACTTTCTTCCCTTTGCTCATGATGTTCCCTCATCATTAGATGTTGGGGATGCAAAGATGAGAGGTCATGACCCCGGCTCAATGAATACACCATTTCTTTGGAGAAAAAAACCAAAACATTATGTGTTAGTGAGAAAAAGGACTAATAGGTGTTGTTCAAAGGGCTTTAAGAGAAAACTCTGTCGTCTAATGCTTTTATCTAGGAAGGTGGCTATTTTTTCCTAATCTAACTTTTTCTTTTCACTGCTTTCTGGAGGATTAGCAGCAGGAATAAAGTTATAACCTGCAAGTGAACAAAGAAACTTGCTTCCACACTGACCCATTGAGCACCCATGTACTACTGGGTTTTTCAATTAATGGAACAGCATGAAAAGGAAGAACTGAATTCTTAGAAATAGGATATTTGAAGCCCAGATAGAAATCTAACAGGCATCCTTGCAGGTAAAAGCAAAAGATCTCAGATTCAAAAAAGGGTCAGTTGTGCCAGAACCATTTTACTTGTTTTTGATTGCATGGGATGGAATATGAACAAAGTGTTAATTACGTAGATTAGCAACACATCCATGTTCCTTGAGGTGGGTTAGCATTGTTTCCTCTTCCTCCTTGTTGTTTGGGTCAAACGGAAGAGTTTACTGTTATGAAGGCATAAGAGAAAGGTCTTGTTGCCTCTCCTGGGTCTCCAAGGACAAGAGCTGTCAGACTGAGTTGTGATTCATAAATTTCACTTCTTACCCATATTTTGACAAGCTTTTCCCTCACCCTTGAGAGAGTTCCCAAGACCCAGTCAGCTCATCTGTGATTTTTTTTTCTCAAGCAGAGTATCAGGCCTTCGCAATAAGGCATTTAAAAATTAATCATGCCATATAGACCAAGAAGGTACTATATATACTTTTTAGTTCCGTATATAAATGCCCTAAGCCAGACCAAAAAAAAAAAAAGCTACAGATATTAACATAGTCAGAATCATTGTGATGAGTAAATAAGCCTCCAAGGATATGAAAAGAGAAAGCTTAAGGGTAACTCCCTGGGCCACAAAGTTTTCTATATTTTTCCACATAATAATGAGAAAAAGTAGATTAAAATAAATGGTCAGCACTGTTGCCACACAGTTTATTGTGGCTCCTATATGCAAATTCATAAGCCCCCTGAGGGTTTGTTGGGGATAGAGAAGGAGTTGTCTGACAGGGAATAAAAAAAGATCTCAGTCTTTGAACATGGACCACTTTCTTACCTCCTATCCATCTAGTCCTATCTTGGTATTTGACCTACTCCCTCTTGTTTGGTGAACATAAGTTCATTTTCATTTTTATGAGCTTTAGGAAAGCAAAAATAATATCAGCTACCAGATACCTCAGCAAAAAGCACTGCATTGCCTTTAACTGAGAAAGCAGCTTGTTAGGCCAGAAGGCCACGCGTGTAACCGGCTGCCTGGTGGATCATCCAGGCCTTGCCCCACACTGCCTTTCCTCTCTCTGCTGCACACTTGTTCCAGAACTGATGGCTGACTGCTGCTAGCAAAGGGAATTGGAGGCTGCCACTTTGCCAGGTTGGGCCCCTGTCCCAGTCCCTTCCATTTCTTTGTGGCACTTCAAGTATGTGATGTCTACCTGGCTAGGTTAGAATGGTCCCTGTCCTCCAACCCATTGGATGCTCTGGGTGGCTGTGGCAGTCCCTTCTCTAGTTCTCAGTGATCACAGAGTGGATGGGAAAGTTCATTATTGGTGGGTTTTTAGGCAGCTGGCAAGTGAGGAACTAGCTACTGTCTTTACCATCTTGGTAGGCAATGGCAGTGAGCTGATAAGAACAGGTATCATAGGAAGACACCACACCAACATCTTCTGGAGCTTCTGAGCCCTTTTTTTTTGCATACAAAGACAGCCTGGCACAGGAGGGACAGCATAGCACAGCATAGCTGAGAGCGTGGGCACTGCTCTCCAATGCTAGAGTTTAATCCCACTTCTGCCACCCATGAGCTCTGGGACCTGGGATACAAGCAATTTAACTTTTCTAAGCTTCTGTTTTCTCACTTATAAAATGAGGATAATAGTGAACCTAACTCATGCATTCTTGTGATGCTTAAATGAGATAATATGTTTACAGCACCTAGCTTAGTGCCTAGCATGTGTTGAGTGCTCAGAAAAGTTCACTAGTAGTATTACTCAGGGCAAAAAACAGTGTGCACATGCGGTCATGGCTGTTAATAAGGAAATGCGTGAAACTTTAGTACATGGTGGGTGTGCAATATGTTGGGAGGGGGTTGGATGGGGTTAGCTCTTGAAACATGGCTATTAGACCACTGGAGTCCTAACTTTAGACGTGTGTAAGTGCATGTTGGGGTTTAAAAGGAAGAAATGCGAGAATTAGAAAACATGGCCCTTTTCTTTATAGAAAAATGTCAGCTCCCCCCTTCACCTCCACCCCTGGCACTCTTGCTTCTCTTCCCTTTCTTTCTTTATTTTTTCCCATAGTTCTGTAAGGTAGGTTTAAGATTATTTATGTTTGCTGATATTTTCTGTCTCTGTCCTGCGAGAGTTTAAACTGTGAGGCAGGGACCTTTGCCACTTTCATTCACAGATGGCCACATAAGAGGCACTCAATAAATACCTGCTGAATGAGTGAAAGAAGGACTCAGAAGTGCTTATTCCTTGACATTGTGTCTGTCTCACAGTGCTGAAGAGACCTGTCACATCCGAGGAACTCCTGACTCCCGGGGCTCCGTATGCAAGGAAGACATTCACGGTAGGCTATTGGTTTGGCTTTTTTGCCTATACATGTTAACACGTCAGTGGGTAGCTATGGACTGAACTGAAAACTTTTTCCTAATTTTCCTTTTGTTTTTAGTACAATTATAATAGTAGGCTTTCTTGACTTGAAGGCACTAAAATGTATTAGGACTTGACATGGTTTATTATTAATACAGCATTTTAAATTCTTTTTCTTAAAGATTTCCATTATGTACTAATTCTAATGTAATTACAGATTTTAAGGCAAATGGTAGTGCACATAATGCCAACAATTCCTTCTGCATTACAGTTAATTCTAAAAATCATTTAAGGTATTAGAGGAGTCTTAAGGTAGAGAAGGAAACTATGCGGTCAGTTGTTCTACTGCAGGCACGGTGCTTTGGCAATGTCAGCATGCCTTGAGATACACAAGCATCTGACTTGGGAGCGCTGAGTACCTGTGAGCAGCCCCAACCACCTGCCCCTTCTTGGAGGCCCTTCAGCTACTTTCTGCCTCCATTGGTTTTCTTCAAACAGAATCAAATGTTTTTATCGACATGACTCACTCACCTTCCCTTGTCTTCTTTGTCATTCACATCCATGATCAACACCCCCTTAAAAATACCTCTCCTGTTTCTTTTACCCTCTAACTTTAGTGACATTAACTCAGGGGAAAAAAAATATATCCACATTCAATCAACAAAGGTTGCAAACCTTTGTCAAGAGCTACTTCACATTTGCGCACTGAAGAGTAAATAGGAGAAAGGCACCAATAATACATCTGCATCAGGGAAAAAGGTAAAACTGTAGATTTGGAAGTGAAATTAGGTGTAATAGACTAATACAGCAAACCCTAAAATCATGCAAGGGCCTAAAAGTCTTGAGACTTTCCATAAAAATTTCTATTTGCTTCTCTGTTTTCCCTCAGTCTCTAACATTCAAGAGATGATTATATTTTGAAAGTATCTTTGGCTTTTAATTTAAATGCCAACATTGTTAGTAATTGATTGTGAATGTATTTCATCTGGATTTTGGTTGGGATATGGGTTAAAGACTTGTCTGGGAGCTGTCCAGGGAACGTAAGTGCCAGTTCTAATAATGGCCTCTATAGAGAAGGCACGCTTTAGTTGCAAACAACTTTGGATTAGAGTCTACTTGTACATTGTGAACTTTATGCACTTTCTCACTTTTTTTGCTTGGTGGAGAAAATTGTGTTTCAAGAAAGCCGAGATTCTTCGTATTTCCCACCATGAATGATTTAAATTGTTACTCTAGACTTCAATGAGGTTGCAGGATCAAGAGTGTATCATCTGGATCTGGGGAAAAAGAACAAACTTGGAGTAGAATTGTAGCTTGCCTTTAAGAGTCTGATATTAAATTGCATAATAGCCAAAGAAAGGGGCAATCTGCCAGTTGTTTATTGAGTAGTGCCCTCCCAGAAGCATCTTCTTTTGCCAAACAGGTTATGTTTCTTGACCACATTTTCCACAGAGAGATGCCTGTGTTTGTGATAGAAGCAAAGTGTTCCCTTGCCCTGGCAAGGCAGAGATGAAATGGAGAAAGATATGTCACAGCACGCACTTAATCTTGGGCTGGTTTTCTCTCTCTTGGAAGGACAGGCAAATCGCCAGGGACTGTCTGCTGACGGCTAATTGTGGTTTTCCTCTCTAGATTGTCGGCGACGCCGTTGGCTGGGGCTTTGTGGTGCGAGGAAGTAAGCCATGCCACATCCAGGCTGTGGATCCCAGTGGCCCTGCAGCTGCAGCGGGAATGAAGGTATTAACTAGTCTTTTCTCACCCTCTTTTGTGTTTCTTATTCTCCACAGTCTTTAATTTTCTCCAGGGTCTCCTTCTCTTCTAATAGGGCAGGGTCTAAATACCTCTAACCTGACTTCATTGTTTAGTGCCACCTGTACTTTTTCTCTGTTTTGGTCCCATTTTTGCCAAATTTCCCTTTTCCTTTCCTAAGGGGGTGAAATGCAGCCAAGAGCATGTGATGTAGCAACCAGGAGAGCAAGTTTTCCTACCCCTCTGCCTATACCTTCTTAGTCTCCGAACCTCTCTTGGTGTTTCACATTTCTCCCCTCAGTCAATCCTGAGTTTGAAAAAATACATATCTCTTTTCACTTAAATCTTATATAATAACTCTGCTGCATCTATTCTATGTGAGGTGTGTTCCTGTGGGCTTTATGTGGCTAGTAGCACATACTAGACCCTAAGATATTGCAAATATGGAGAAAAAGAAATCAAAAGTCATGGAACTTGGAAGAGGAAATCTGGATTCATATCTTGGTCCTGCTAATTACTAGCTCTTTGATTTTGAACAAGTTTTCAAAGAGGAGCCTATTTCCTCCTCTCTCAAGTGACAATTATACTATTTTCCTCAGCTGTTTTATGGATTAAATATGTGAAAACACTTCGATAAAGTATAAAGAGCTATACAAACAGCAATTCAATATTGAATGAATATGTATGATTTTTGAAAATAATTTTTACATATTTTTAGTACTAAAGTGATATATGTACAGTCAAGAAAATATGAAAAATGCAGAAAAGCAGAAAAAAATTAAAATTAACCATAATCTTTCCCAACTCAGAGATGACTACTATTAACACTTCTTAAGTAGTTTTATTGAAGTGTAATTGGCACATACTAAAGTGTAGCACTGTTACCAGTTTGATTTATATTCTTTTAGACTTCTTGTATGCACATACATGTTATATACATTGTTTTTATTTATACAGAAATATGATATCAAGGGATGTTGAGAGCATCAGTTTTCTGCTTTGAAACACCTTCCCCTAGCACAGTTTTGTTCTCTTGTCTGTGAAACATTTCACAGAGGATATTTCTGTCTTGATTATCTGGGACCATGGGAGGATATAGAAGGCTTGAAAGCTAAAGATCATTCCCCTGTTCATTTATTCAATACTTTCGTACTCTCCCTTCAAACCTTTTCCTAGAGCAGTAAACTAGCCCAGCAGTGGCCACGATTTGGTTCTCTACTTCTCTGATGTCCAGCATGTGCTCTCTGGCATCGGTGGACATACTGGAAAAAAAGTGGGCAACAGAAAATGGCTCAAGGGAGCAAAGACCTTTACTGCCTGTCAGGGAAATCAGGTCCTGTGCTCTGGGGCAGCTACAGAAGCCTCATTGGCTAAGACAGGCTGTGTTAGAGGCCCCTCCTGCCTTCTCAGGACTGCAGTGGGCACAGCACCAAAGCAACTCAGAGCAGGAAAGTTGGCCAGGATCATAAAAGGCGAGCACTTGTATTCATGCCAAGGCTGAATTTTTAATTTTCTAATGGAACTCTTGGCTTGGGAAGAATTTTATATTTTATTTGCACAGTAACATACCCAGTATAAATTATTTTTGGCATAGCGCTTCAGTTCTAAACGTGCACTCACTCGCATGAGGCTTTGGCTTAAAGCACATTTCTTCAGAGAAAAGCAATGGATTTGCATCAAAGCTAAAACCTTGTTTTGCTTAGCCAAGTGTGTGGTGCATTTAATTGATCTTAGTTTATCTTTATTGATGAACATGCATAATCATTCTGGGCATTGTCAATTGATTAATTAACTCTTTAATGTACATACTCTGATAGATGGATTATCTGATATATATTTTTTCAGTTTCATAAGTTAATACTTCATATGGTTCATATTTTTAGTTTCTTAGGAGGTATACAATAGTTTTCATATGTTACAGAGCACTGCAGAATTCATTAGAGCAGTCTTTCCGTAATTGTATCATATAGCTCTCTGGTCCAGCAAAATGTCCTGTTCTGAGGTTCTGTGATCAAAGCAGTTTTAAACTGCCACACACTTTATCCCCCTTTTGGAAATTCACAAAGCATATTAGCATATTAAAAATTCTGATAAATCTGGCAGGGGAAAAAAAAACTTGTTTAAATTGTTTAGCATAACATTTTATCACTCAAGGGAAACATTCAAATAGAGTCTTTATTAATGTTGTTAGGATATATCCCTAAAATTGTTCTGAGAAGATGCTTTTGGTCAGACTTTGCTTTGGAACGAACATACAATGATGCATCGATTAACAATGGGGATATGTTCTGAGAAATGTGTTAGGCGATTTTGTGGTTGTGTTATCATGGAGTGTACTTACACAAACCTTCATGGTACAACCTACTGCACACCTAGGTGATGTGGGATAGCCTATTGCTTCTAGGCTGCAAACCTCTACAGCAAGTGGTTATACTGAATACTGTAGACCGTTGTAGCACAACAGTAAGTATTTGTTTACCTAAACATAGAAAAAATAATGTGTTGCACTATAATATTAGGACAACTATGATGTCACTAGGTGATAGAAATTTTTCAGCTCCATTATAATCTTATGGGACCAACATCCTGTATGTGGTCTGTAACTGACCAAAATGTTGTTATGTAGCCTATGACTGTATGGAGATATATTTTTTTAATTGTACTGTTTGTCGGTTAAATTAAAATGATAGTGAATACCATGCCCTCCAGTATAGTTTAGCTGTGTATATTCATTAGAAATTACTTTGTACATTATTTTCTTACCTGTTTCTTACTGAATAAATTCTTATTTTATCATCTCTGTTTGTTATAGAATAATTTTACTCCCATAAAAAGCCATTGCATAATCTAATCCTAAAGGCTTGTTTCCACTGACTTGTCATGTCACTGCTGCCCTCACCTAGGAAAACTGCAGAGTTCGGGGTGTGCAGTCCTCTCAGCGGGTGTCCTGGGGGAGTGCCCTGGGGCGAGATCCACCTACTTGGGCATTGATTCACCTGCTTGGTCTGGGTGGCAGAAATTGTTCAATATTCTACCCAGATGCCTCCTTTTTGCATCTGTGACTGTTAGGAGCTGACCCTGGATGGTGTAAGTGCCTGCCTGGCCTTCAGCGTCCCTTTCTAGACTGAATGTCGGGCTCGCTCCTTAGGTCAAGACTCTGGTTTTCTTCTGATTTCTAATGGGGACAAAACTCTTCCTCTGGGCCTTTGCAACTGTTCCACCTAGTGGGATTTTTATACTTTTACTATGGCTGCTTAATGTCACTGCTTACTTACTCAAAATGGATATCATCTTGTAACTGAGGCTCTCATGTTTACCATTTCACCTGTCTTCTATTTCACCTTTTTATGGGGATGAGAAAGTTTTAGGATATGGGCCACTGGTATGTGAACAGGATAAGCCTTGGGCTGAGACAACAGAGTGCCATTTTCCCCCTGTTAACACTTCTAGATCTTTCCAGACCCAAAGGAGAGCTCTTTGCCTGATTTAAATGAATCCCTTGTTCCATGACTAGTGGGCACCTTCATGCCTGCATTAAAACTTTACTTCTCTAGAAAGTCTAGAAGAACACCAGGATAAATGTGTCATTTGGGAGAGTGGTAAGGTCTACCCCAGTTCTTTTCTGGACTGGAGTAGGTAAATCTGTGACCTTTGCATCTAAGTAGCCTTCCTCTAATTTCCCAGAGCCCTTCATGCCTGTGATCTCACCAGAGCTGATTTAGCTTGGTGGGAGCTGGAGCATCAGGTAAGATGCTGGATGGGCCTGCTGAGATGTGCACCAGGGAATATGTAAATATCTATAGCAGGGGTTAGGGTCCAACCCGACTTCAGTTATAAGTGGAATTGAATTTTGGTGAAATATTAGACTTTTGCACTATCTCAAGCTTGTTTGAAAATTTATTTTTAACTCAAGTCTGTTTCTTTTCTTCCCTTCTTTCTCTTCATGCAGTAGTAGCTCATTTGTTCCCAAAGACCAGAAAGAGCATAGATGTTATAATGGAGGCCTCAAACTATAATATTTTTATTTTTAGCTTTGTCTAAATCAAGACCCACATAAAAAGGAGAACAATTCCTTACGCCTTTTCTAATAATTTGCTGTATAATTTCATACTATTCTCCTCCTCGCCTATGCTTGGGGAACAATGACTATTACGTCATTAAAATTCTCACTTGATCCAGCATCTTTGAATTTGGAGTTATTCTTATTTTGAAAGTTCTTTTACTTAAAGAATAAAATCTCTAAACCTCTGGCTTAGAGAACCTTTCTTTGGCATTACAACTGTAGAATAGAGCATGAAATATGGAATTTGTCAGAAGTTTAGTCAACCCAGGCAAGGCATTTGCATCTAGAAGTTGATTCCTGCGTGTTCCCTCTGCTGAATCTCCACTCAGCCTTGAAGAATTTCCTCCCATTGGCTACTGGTTCCTTCTGATGCATAGTGGAAAGGAAGAAACAAGAGTAGGAACTGTCATTGACCAAGTGTCCTCTGTGTACCTGACCCTGAACCACGCCAGGCCCCTTCTCTGCATGAGCCCACCTAATGTGAGCATCAAAATACTAATATACTTGAGGGAGAAATAATTCCGCAAGGAAGAATTCTATCTCTCACCTCTTTGCTACTTTGAAAAGGAAGGCAGTTCCCTCCCCAAGCTATTCTATAGGTTACAGTCCGATGAATATTATGGAAGCATTGGCTTCCTGTCACAACCTGTAATGATATTCTTTTGTTTTTTATCACATCAAGTCTAAAAACATTTCTGGACCATATTATCTATGATAACCTTACATGATCCCCTAGTAGGCTTTCTCAACTCTCAGTCAGGGCAGAAGTTTTACATATCACAAATACACTGTGTCTGCCTCTGGAGGAAATCCAATTAAGTGACTTTGGTGGTTACAATGCTCTAATGGCTTTCCATTACCATGAGAATAAATTCCGGGTGTGTTCCGTGGCCTGAAGCTCCGTGATCTGGGCCTTTTATTTATT